GATGATGATGATGATGATGACGATGATGACGATGATGATGATGATGATGACGATGATGATGATGATGATGATGATGATGACGACGATGATGACGATGATGACGATGATGATGATGATGATGACGATGATGATGATGATGATGACGATGATGACGACGATGATGACGATGATGACGATGATGACGATGATGATGACGACGATGATGACGATGATGACGATGATGATGATGACGATGATGATGGGATCACTTGAGGCCAAACAATTATTGAAAACAAGTTAATAGAATAGAATAGGCCTGAAACACATTTTGTTACTAGATTGGAAAGGAACAGAATAATTTAATGGTGACCATTATAGGAAGGTGCTAGTAATAGTCTACTAAAGGTTGCACAGGCTGTACAAAGAAAACCAACACAAATCAAGTGCGAAAATGAGAGCCAGTACAAAGAGGTTGTTGTTGACCAGACCAGAGCCATCACCAGAGCAATTGCAGTGTTATTTTCGTTTGTTTGTTTTGTGTTTTGTTTCTTCAAGGCTTTTGCTGAAGAAAACGGTTTTGTTGGAGAGTTAAAGCACTGGGACATTCCATTCTGGTCACAAAAGCAAAGGGAACATTTGTTTAGGTTTGAGCAAGGAACGTCTTACAACCCTCCAAGTTAAAGTTTTTGCTTGTTCGCCATTTGGCCACCAACTCTTTTGGCTTAGGGAGACTTTTTTACAAATCAAGTCGCCAGCTCCAAAATTTTAGTCGCCATGGCGACCAAAATACTTGCGACTTAGAGGGTTGTCTTACTTTGTACTTTCAGTTTTTGTTTGTCACAGAACCGTCTTACGTCTGTGTTTGTTTACTACTGGTATGTCGCGGATGTTGGTCATCAAGTTGGTTCTTGCGTATGCTTACAGGCGTGAGGATTTTCTCGATTCGGGTACTCCGGTTTTCCCCTCTCCTTAAAAACCAACTATTTCAAATTCCAACGCCGATCTAAAATGGTAGACAAAGAATTACTATTCCGTGGATATGCGCTAAGGAATACCGTAAATGGCCAAATAAACACTTGAGGCGTCTATTAAATTTTAGGGGTCCAAGCGGGGGCGTTCAATAGATAGGAGGCGTTTATCTGGAAGTGGGCGTCTATCAGGTCATTTACGATATTTTCTTTCCCTTTTTGTTATTGTTATTTAGTTAAACGTAAGGTAGAAAACAAGATAGTTCCAAAATATTATGCGAAAATGCCTTTGTTATTATATACATGTAATATTGTTATGTCAGGCTTGAAACCAGCTTAACTCATAAATATCCCATAGCCAAGTTTTACAAAGCTTAAGCTTCCTTGCGATCTCTCTTTTGCCTCCTGATTTCTACTGATTAGATCCTCGTTCGCGTTGTAATGCTTCTTTTATCAAGTTTGATGTTAGTCAACTTTCGGCCGCCATTTCATTGGTATTTCCCTGTTTTTTTGTTGTTGTTGTTGTTTTTTTCATTTGATTTACTGTTAAATAATTATATTTCAGCTTTACTGATGAGGATTTAAGGCCATATTTTCCCTTACCAAGGTTTGTTTCTTTTAACTAAGTAACGATGCAAAGCAGACAGTTTTGCAATGAAACCTCCTTAAAGGTCAAGAGAAAATTGGTTTTGGTTTAAGAAACCCGAGCTTTCGACAACCCGTTTTGTTAATTAACATATGCAGCCAAATGCATAGATGGAAATATTTTAGCAAGCGAAACTATAAATAGAAAAAAGTGTTACTAAATTATTATTATTATTATTACACCTATTATGTGTTTTGTTTTTGTTGTTGTTGTTGTTGTTGTTTTTTAATTGCCGTATTTTTGTTTTAGAACGTAGGTGTGTATTTCGTATTTTGTATATTTTTTGTAGTTTTGTCTTCATTAACGGTTCATGTCAGGACTAGATTATTTTTCTTATGGGAAGTTTCTCGTAATGAATTATTTCTCGATTAACTTAGAGTGCAATCAGAACAAATGTGGTCGAATTCCCGTTGTTCCGTCTTCTTATAATTAGTGCATTCAGTGCGGACCTTTCAATTTTAAAACATCTTGTAACTGGCTGTTTTTTTTTTTATCCGTCCCTCGTAGGGTTCTAGATGGACTTTTCAAACTTTCATCCGAGCTGTTTGGAATAACCATCAAGGTGGGTCTTTTACGCCGTCGTCTTTCTGGTATCTTAGGCTATGTTCATACTACATTATGCCGGATAGCTTTTCGTACCGATTGCTTTCAAATGTCAAAATTCTACTGTTTTAAACGCGTGGCTTTCGCTGTCACGTCCGAGGCTTCGAAATTTACAGAGACGTTTACAAGCGAATTGGGTTTGGATTAGGGATATTTTGATAGAATTCATCGTACGTTTATTCTCTGGTTATGCTAGATCAAGTTCCCTCAATTTCCTCGTCAAGAATAAAAGTGTTAAGACAATTTTACTTGTAGTTTTGGAGCAAAGACTCTAGACCAAAGATAAAGAACATCACTGTTTTTAGTCTTGGTAACCGAGCGTTCTCTTCGAATCCTAGGCCGCGGGCGCTAAGCGCGCGATGTCAGCCCTAAAGAGTAACTGGGTGGTAAAATCTTGGATGGTTTCTAGGAGATTTGGGCTATTAGCCAATCGTAGAGCCTAATAGACAATAGCAATTGTTTGTCAAATTCTTTTTGAGCTGGTATTAACAAAGGAGCCTTTCCAGCCCCCGGATAGTTAAATTGTCGATAGGATTTAATTATAAGTAGTTTAAAAAATGGC